TTGGCCTCCCAAAGTGCTGGGATTACAGGTGTGAGCCACTGCACCCAGCCCATGCTCAGGCTCTTTCTGTCATGCTCTGCAATTGCATGCTCGGAGTTCTGGCACTGAGTTTCTGAGTTCAATCCCCACCTTAGGGTGCACATTTCCAATCTGCCTAGTGCAGAGTGTGAGAGTGGAGTCAGTCATAGCTGTGGGCTTCCCATGTCAGGCCAAGAACTTGAGAGAGTCCCACGGCCTGAAAGCAGTATCTCTGAAAATCCAAAAGTGGTAGAGAATGAAGGAAAATAATTGCAGCCACTATAAATGTGAAACAGTTTACAAATCTTCCAAACATACGAACCCCAGACTCATTTTCTTGCGTGTGTTTATCATACTTGTATTGCATGGCAATACATGGTGGACATTTTTCATAGAGTATCACATTCAATCTTCTCAAAAACCCTGGAAGGTGTTTGTTCCCATTTTATAAATGATGCTGAAGCTTGTGAGTTGAGTGCATTTCTGCAGGTCACTTAACCGGCGATACTGGAATCTAAAGCCAGCTGGAACCACTTTGCAGCCAGTGTTAAGAACACCGGTGCTGCTGTTCTCTGCTTCTCGTGATCTGTCTCCCGGTCCTCTGCTCCAGTGTGACTGTGACTTCTCTGAGAGTGGTTTCAAAAGTCTGGCATTGCCTCTTGTCACTGCTTTTCTGTGGTTCTCTCCCCTCGGATATGCCACTCACTGTTTAGGCTTCTGGGGCGACTGCACTTTGATTTGGAAAACCAGTCTTGTCAAAGGTTGGGATAAATGACTGGCTTGTTTGGGGAGATTAATTTGAGTTAAATGAATAGAGTAAAGAGCAAGGAATTGGAGACTTAATTTGCTTTGTTGTCCTTTTAACTGATTATGGGTTAGTATATAATATGTTTGCCTATGGCTTCCAGGAAGGGCCCCTCAGGAAGCTCAGCAAGTGGTTATGAGCAGGCTGAACAACAGGTGAACCCAGGTTGATGCAATGGTCAGTGCTGCTGGGGTCAGCTGCCCTTAGCACCATATTGACCACTTTTCCCATACCTTAGCAGAGAAGGAAGTGACCATCACCCCATTTCTAAGATGATGTGATATTCTTAGAAGTTTTTGGACCTCATAAGAAAAGATACACCCAAGGGATGTATTTTCCTTAAAATCATTAAGAAAAACCATTATTCAAAATTAGTAGTAGTTTTATTTCATCTGATTTTATTTTGTTTCACTTTTTATTTTATGTTCAGGGGGTACATGTGCATGTTTGTTACATGGGTAAGGTGCATGATACCGAGGTTTGGGGTATGGATGATCCTGTCACGAATGTAGTGAGCACAGCACCCAAAAGGTAGCGTATTAACCCTTGCTCCTTCTCTCCCCCTCTAGTCATCACCAGTGTCCATTGTTCCCATCATATGTCCATGCACACTCAGTGTTTAGCTCCCACTTAGAAGGTGTTTGGTTGGTTATTCCTGCATTAGTTCGCTTAGGATAATGGTCTCCAGCTCCATCCATGTTGTTGTAAAGGACAAGATTTTGTTCTTTTTATGATTGCATGGTATCCCATGGTTATATGTACTTTATTTTCCTTATCCAGTCCACCATTAATGGGCATCTAGGTTGTCTCCATGTCTTTGCTGTTGTGAATAGTGCTGTCACGAACATACAAGTACATGTGTCTTTCTGGTAGATGATATATTTTCCTTTGGGTATACACGCAGTAATGAGATTTCTGGATGGAATGGTAACTCTGTTTTAAGTTCTTTGAGAAATCTCCAAACTGCTTTCCACGGTGACAGAACTAATTTCCATTCCCACTAGTAGTGTATACGTGTTCCCTATTCTCCACAACTTCTTCAGCATCCTTTATTTTTTGACTTTTTAATATGGTTTTTACCATTGAAAGTAATAACAAAACCCACAATTACTTTTGGACCAACCTAATAGTAGCCATTCTGACGGCTTTGAGATGGAATCTCATTGTGGTTTTGAGTTGCATTTTTCTGATGATTAGTGATGTTGAGCATTTTTTCATATGTCTTCCTTTGAGAATTGTCTGTTCATGACCTTTGCCCACTTTGTAATGGCATTGTTTGTTGCTTTTTGAGTTATTTAAGCTTAATTCAACAACAACTGAACTTAAACGGTCTGAAATAAACTGTCTAAAATCAAGATTTGTATAGATTCTGAATATTAGACCTCTGTCAGATGCATAGTTTGTGAATATTCTCCCCCATTCTGGAGGCTGTAATTTGTCTGTTTATTCTGTTCACAGTTTCTTTTCCTGTGCAGAAGCTCTTTTGTTTAATTATATCCCAGTTGTCGATTTTTGTTTTTGTTAAAATTGTTTTAGCCTACGGCCGTACCACCTTAAAAGCACCCGATTTTGTCTGATACTGGAGACAGCTATTTCAAGGTATGGGGGGGAAATCTTTGGACGCATTTAAATAATTCTGAAAAAGCAGGTGAGCCACTTGTCTTTACAGAGTTTGTATGGACTGATTCTACGAAACAGGTGCCAAAACGAATCAGATCTGGATTCTAGAATTTCCTGAAAGGTTTATGTGATGTTTTATGAAAGGGTAGCCAGTGCTAGTTGCATTCCTAAGCCTGGAAGGTGTGTACAGAGTATAGTGCTGACTGAAATAAACTCCTGGGCTCTAGGCGAGTAGGAGCCACCAGATCCCAGGGTGCCCTTCCTAGGGGTGTGTGCTGAGGCCTAGAAAGATAAAGTTTGTGAGAGACATGGTCCGTCGTCACTGCTCATGCTGAATCCTGAGAACACTTCTGCAACTCCACTGCTGTACTAAAGTCTGTACGCTTTGATTGTGAGACTTCTGATAACCGGGAAGTACAAATAAATGCTCTAAGGAAACCCATAGTCACATAGTGACGCTGCTAACTCCCTGATCTTTTCAGAAGACGGTGCGGTGAAATATCCTGTCTGAAACCAAGGTCTCGTGAAAGGCTTCTTAGCAATATCTTCCATTTTCAATTCGGGTTTTATGCTTCCCTATCGTATTAATTTAAAAATCAACTTATTTAATCTGACATATAAAGGGCATGAAAGTATCATTTCTGTCTTTAAATGAAGAAAAATATGGTTGAATAGAAATTTAATGAGTTTTTTTTTGAACCCATCAGGGAACTAAGGTTACGGGGCAACCTGCCACCCTGAAATCCAGGGAGAAGGTTACTCCAGGGAGATACAGGATGTAAGATACAGAACAGAAGCCACTGGCCACCTTAGGCTAGAGGAAGCCCTGAGAGCAAGCTTTAGACAGGAATACCGAAATCTCATCCCATCTTGGGGGAGGGAAGTGCACCCAGTCCAGCGTCACTCCAGCCTTCTTGTGTCATAAACTTGATGACCTAGATGAAATGAGGCCATTCTTCGAAAAAGACCAACTACCAAAACTCACTCAAGGAGAAATGTCTTCCTAAAACACCAGGCCCAGATGAATTCTACCAATATTTTTG